AGAGTTTGTTGACCTTTTGCAGGCTGTGTTTTTCAGTGCTGGGAGCCAGGCTTTGTTGAGTTTTAGACTTTCTTCTTTTTTTGTTGAAGCTCTGCTGGTGTTTGTGGGTTTCAATGGCTTTCCTGTGCACTCTAACATAATGATTGCTGGTGTTGTCCAGTACTTCTGTGTTTTGAAATAGAATTTCATGTCCAGCTTGTTTCAGGGCATGTTCAGTTACTGCCAATTTTTCCGGTTGTTTTAGTCTGCTGTATCATGTTCTTTGATTCTGGTGGGGATGCTGGAAATTGTGGTTCCAATATATACCTGGCCACAACTGCAAGGTATCTAGTATACTCCTGCAGTGGTGAGGGGGTCCCTTTTGTCATTTGCTGACCGTAATATTTCTTGTATTTTTCTGGTAGGCCTGAATACTGTTTGTGTTTTTTCAAAAGTTTCCCCTTTGATGAATGGCAGAAATACTTTATTTGTGGGTAGCTGTTTTTCCTCTTCAGGTTGTTGTCGTTTTCTTGGTTTGATAGTCAGCAAAGGACAAAAGGGACCCCTCACCACTGCAGGAGTATACTGGATATCTTGCGGTAATTGACATATTGTCACCCATTCTCCAAGTTTGGAGAGATCCTTCTGGAGCTCTTCATAACACCTTCTGGTCTTCACCGCCTGGAAAAGTTTTGTACTCCTGTTCTCTTCCCCCCGCCCCCGCCCCCGCTTTTTGCCAGTAGCTAAGAGAAAGCCCTGATTTAATCATTGAGGAAAGCAGCTTCATAGGAAAGCCATGAGGGAGGGAGGGACTTGAATAAAGCAACAGGCTCAGTTCTCCTTGATCCTTTCTTAAAAGGGTAATGCAGGGACTGCACACTTTCTTCATGCTACCTGAAAGTTCACATCATCTCTCTTTCTCAGCTGTTTTTTTCCCCCCTGTCATTAACTAGCACAACAAGTAGGTTTGTTTAAAAAAGCAGTCCATTACTTTTGGAAAAGAAATGTGGAAGGAAGCTTCTAGTTGCTTGGGTATGTTCTCCATCCTTTCTTCCCTTCCTTCTTTCTCCTGGATTTGAAATTAGCACTGCTGCCATTCTGTGGCTGCAAGAGTGATGACGTTTGAAGGATTGCAGAAACAAGTCTTTGAACAGTATAGTCTTTGATGATTTAACCAATGACTTTACAGCAGGAAAGGCAAGGAAGGTTCATTTCTAAGGTAATCAGCACATTTTCCTTCACTGTTGACACCCGCTCAGTGTCTTCTTCCCTTTCTTTTTCTCTTTCCATGCGCTGTCACATCTATCTTCTTATTATTTTAAGCATTTTAACCCTATAAATGTCAGCTTTTATGGAAAGGATGTGTGCATGGTGGGTGTCACTCTGTCCCTTCAGTATTTCTGACCAGTTTCCTCTGCTTAATGGTAAGCATACAATTAGATTCATGTTTACACATTTCTTAATCTTAGAACTGCAGAGCTAGATGGGGCCCTATGGATCATCATGTCCAGCCCCTGTCAAGGAGGCACTGTGGAGAATCAAACTCCACACTCTGGCTCTGCAGCCAGATGCCTAAACCACTGAGCTAGATAATGTACATCCCAGTATGAATTATTATTAGTGGTGTGCTGGTTTGTGGTTTGGGACTATAACTCCCAGAATCCCTAGGTTCTGAGAAGTGTAGCTGAAAAACATAAATCTGCAGACATCTCATAATTACATAAGTACAGATGAATCTGTGTTTTCAGTATTTAGATTATGTTTGATTCCCCAAAGCTTGTCAGCTATTCTTAGTTAATTGCTAGGAGATGATAGTAATGCTTCACTGTTGCCTTAATTACACTCATTTTTAAGTTCCATCTCTTTAGGCGAAGAGTTAATAAAACTGATGACAAACTGGCATACAAGTCTACTTTCATGTTCCTCTACTGTGAGTTAATCAATAAAGATAAGGGAAATCATAATGAATGATTTCACAAACAGGAATGGTTTTTATTAAGCTAATTTCCTATCTGATAATTATATTTTGTAAAAATGATGGCTTGCAAAGGACATGAATGAGGAACATAACACATTGTCTGGGGACAGGTTTAGTAAACCCTTGCCGTTGTTTTAGGTTAATCATGTGTATATTTTAAAATGTATACATTACAATGCGTTCTGGTAATTATTCCTTGTATATGTGATTTACTTCATTAAACATTGGAATCATGAGGTAGTGCTGAATATTGCCAAATATTAACAATTATGACAATGCAGTTACCATATGTTTTCAGCTGCTCTTTCTTCCTCTTTGGCCAAATGATGTTTGAGTCTTTATGGCCAAATTACATTTATTGTAGCTGAAAAACTACAAGCACTGTAATGCCCATTACTGTCCATAGCCCCTTTTACAATTTCCATTAAGAACCTATTTATTTTCTGTGAAATATCCGTAACTCTGTGAATAGCAAAAGAAATTAGGTTACTATTTCTGGAATAATAGTGGTGAATACCATTCATTAAAGTATCAGCAATCTCATTTTGTAATCCTCGACTGCCCAGACACAGAGGACAGCCCAGAGAAGAATTGTTTTCTCGAATGCTGTTCCAATTAGAAGGCATCTTGTTAGTGAAATGGAAAGAGCCTTCTGAATGTGGCGACTGTGTTAAATAGCAGCCTTTCTGTCTTTATCAAGTTGAGCCACCCACAAGAGTTCTCATTAAGTGAGAGAGTGGGCAGATCTGCAACAGACAAGAGACAGGACACATCCAATTACTGTCGTCGTCAGGTGCTGAACGTTAATATGTCCCCATTAGTTAGAGCTGTATCACTGATCTTCTGAATTCTGCACTGCTTTGCAGGCCCAGGATCATTCCTGCCTTGCAGTGCAGCCTTGTTAAGTGGGCAGTCTATGTGCAGCAAAGAGCGCCATGCACTTCCAGGGTCCTTGCTCCCCTTAATGTGTACAGGAATGTGGAGGGTTTTTTTGTGCTAGAGATTCTTAGCTCATCATCCATCTTCAATGTGGCACCATCCAATTTTCTGCATTACCACGTTTGAGAGCCACAACAATTCTTTGCCAGAAGGAAATGGGGACAGAGAAATAAAAGAAGACAGAAGACTGATAATGGAGAAACTCAGAGAAAGGCAGGAGATAGGAGGCTCTATGGATCATTGGTGTGAAGAAATATTGGTGTTCTGATTGCTATTAAAGGCTTCAGTAGAATGTGATTGGTTGTGTGCAACATACTTGAGGAAAATGTATTGGATGTGTCTTATGCAGAGGCTAAATGTGGGGTTAAATACAGCCAGTAGTTGCAGCCAGAGTTGGCCCAGACAGACATTGGCCAGAAGCCTGTTGCCCTGTCCAGTCACATACGGCAATCTTACAAGGGACGGGATCTGTTTCCCATGTGACTCATCTTCTCTGGAATGAGGAATCAATCACATGGCTGCTCATAAGACCAGGCAGACGATGGAAAGGCTGGAAGGATTTTTCTTCAGTTGAATTTAGCCATTGACTCAATAGAACATATGTGTGACTTAGCAACTGCTTTGGGTTGGTGGGTGGATGTGCTCTAGTTAGGACTGAATTGTCTTTAGGCCATGAAGTTGACACACTTGAGGGTGATCCCGAGAACCTCTTTAATCAAAAAGACCCAGTATGTTAATATGCTTGTTGTAATCTGCTTGTTTAGGTCAGATGATACGTACCAGATCTGTCATTATGCAAGCTCAAGGAGAAGGAAGGCCTTGCCCAGCTGACCTTACCCAGTACAGGAACTGCGTGGTCAAACCCTGCTACAGCTGGGTTCTTGGAGAGTGGTCCCAATGCAAAGTTGAGGTATCTATTGTGCACTACCTGACAGAACATCGTCTTTGCCCTGAAGATGTAAAATAGACTCAATTTGTTACTCACATACTTCAGATTCACAGGACAGTTTGATATGTATTTTAAAAGTTACAGGCAATGCTATTTGAATCTTACAGAAAACAAGGGGGTATTGGTATCAAAATTACAGTGAATTTATCATAAATTCAAGGAAGCTGCTGATTAAATAACTAATCCAATAGCAAAGGTCAGCAGAATGTATGCTTCTAATAGTACGTACTCCGATGAGTGTCATAGATCTTTTTTACAGCAGCAAACTTAGATCAAAGCATGATTTAATTTCAGAGAATCCTGCCACCCTGGAAATTGACTTTTGCACTAAGAATACTCTGTAGCCTCTCTTGGCATACCAAAAGGCCTTGAAAGTGTATAGTTTAAAGCTGTTGTGTGAAATGCTGAGTGCGGCTTTCCTCCTTGGAGTGATTATTTTTTTTAAATGGTCTGAAAATGTAAACGCTGACATGAATTGTGAAGCATCAAATACGTATACCTTTGCTTTGTCAGCACCAACGGCCTGCATGCTCTCTCCATCTTCATGCTGCATTCTGCTTCCATTGATTTGCTGTAAACATTTCTTCCCCCCTTCCTCATTTATCTCTTAGGTCATGCTTCTTCAGAAACACGTGATCCATTATCGAGCATTCACTTTAAACTGATGTGCATTTGCCATACTTAGTTTTTCCATGTGGGGTAGGGAGAAGATGGAATCTCTTTAGCTTTCATCGTCTCAGATGAATTGGACTGCAGAGAGGAAGAAATATGGCAGAGGGGAAGATTTTATTTATTTGTATATGTGATATATTCTTTAAAAGACATGCACACAACAATTACTATTACAAAAACTCTCCTTTCTCCCTTTAGTCTTATTATCAGAAAAAGCAGTCTGTGCAGCGAGGTAATGGTGAACATTACTATCTCCAGAGTTTCATCTTTGGTGCAAGGTTCGAGACTAAATCCAGTTGCTTTACCCAACTAGAAGAGGCCAACGATGTGATCACACAGGAAAACAGATTGTAATCTGGACCACTTGCAGTGTGGTCCGGTGCAATCTATTTCCCCGTGATCAGACAACACACAGAGAAATGAGCTCCAGCCTGACCTGGATTCATACCCAAGCTGGATCTTTTTAACTCCAGGAATAGGACTTCTATTTTAGAGGGCTAGGCTGGAGAAATTCCCCGGGAGATGAAAGGGTTGCCTTAAGTGAGATTGCATCTGCTCAAGCGATCCTTTCCAGTGCAATCAGGCATATGCCTTGGTAGCTGTCTGATCACATCCCTACTGAGACATTACTGGATGCTGAGTCAACAGCTCTGTAAATGTCGTTGACTCAACTGGTCTATTTTAGTTGTGGCTACTCATTCGATTCAGGCTACTCTCTTCCTTGTCTATGCCATATAAAAACTTTAAAAATACCCTGTGCCCAGAATAATCTCCACACTGGATGCAGGTCTCTGGGATGACCTCATAAATCATGGTGTCTGCTGTACAGGTCTGCCCCAAATGCCGGAGATAGAAAAGACATCTTCCAACGTCTTCTGATCACTTTGAACACCTGGGAACAGAATTGGCCTGGAATGCTTCCAGGAGGATCTATACACTACACTTAGCATGCATTATTAATGTATTAAGAGCTATTTTTGCCCCATAATCCTTTATTATTTTTTCTTAGGGTGGACAGTGTGGGGACGGCATCCAAGTACGGAATCTCACATGTATGGTGCATGATGGCTCTTTATCAGCAGCATCTAAGCAAGTAGAAAATGCACAATGTGGAGAGCTTCCAGCTAAAGATAGTGCCCTGCAACTTCCATGTTCGGTGCCTTGCCCAGGTAAACTCTTTGGAGGGCTTTTATGCAGGACTGGATCGAGTTCTGCAAAGCCAATGGGCCACTGTAGTTTGACCTGTATTTTCAGCCTACACCTACCAGTCCAAACTTAAACACAACTACTCAGAGGTAACTTGCACGGTCCGAAATCCTATGGGGATTTGATATATGTGCAAGAAGAATCCCAAAGGTTGGTGAACCTCACTGACAAGGTTTTTGTTGCATGTCTATAGTAGGCCAGATTGTCTGCCTGATTGTGTGCTCAGAACAGCCCTTGGCCCCCCATCAATTGGCCATGGCAACTTCAGTTGTTCTGCTTGTTGGTGTATAAAATGTATAAAAAATACCACCAAAGATGGCAACCAGTTAGCGGAGGTCTGCGTTTCTCCTCTGCTTCAGGGTTTTTTGTTTGTTTGTTCCTTTTTTGTTTTCTGCTTCTTTCTTTCTTTTTCATTAATTTGCTTACCTTGGTCTGTTGTGATCTTTATCCTGGCTCACCTTTTGCCTCTTGCTTTTTTATGGTTATGTTGCAGCTTGTTTTGTTATATGTAGTTCTTTCACAGTTTCTTTATAGCTTTTTAAAAATAGTTTCTCTGCAACTGTTGTGGTCAGCTTCTTTACTGACCACAACAGCAAAATGAAACAGCGGTTTCATTTTTGCTTCCTTCATTGACTTCCTCGTACGGTCATTCCCAGTTTCAAGGCTGTGTTTTTCTGTTTGCCTCAGTTGGAGAGATGAAATCCAGCTTCCTTTGCATGTTATTGTTTAATTTAAAATTACATGTCTAATTTTATGTTATGATTGAATTAATTTTGTTGATTTCATTATTATTGTATTTTTGTTTTGTTAATTTGTAATATTTCTGGTCTTTTCCTTTTCCCTTCTTTTTGTTCGACATGGAATGGAGGGCCTGCCCCCCTAGCGGGGGTCCTCTGAACATCAGAGTGATTACGGGTAGAGGGAGGTATGGCATTGGCACAGTTCCTACTTGTTGCAAAAGAACAATAAACAGATGTTTGAAGGCTGGTCACTGTTCTGGCACTGTGACCAACTTTCAGACTCGAGGTAGTCAGACCAGCCATCCCTCTACTCTAAATCTGGTGTTGTTGAATGCCAGGTCTGTATCCAACAAATCTCAGATTATCCAAGACCTTATTCTGGAGGAGGATGCAGACGTGGTGTGCATAACTGAGACTTGGATGGGCGGGGAAGGGGGTGTTCCCTTGGCCCTTGCCTGCCCTCCAGGTTATGCAGTCCAACACCAGGGTAGACTGGAGGGGTGGGGAGGAGTAGCCATTGTCTATAAAAACGCTCTAGAGGTTGTTAGGTGCTCCACAGTGGTGACACCAGGTCTTGAGGCCCTACACGTGTTGATTGGGGCCAGGGATGGTATTGGGATCTTGCTAGGTTACCATGCTCCCCACAACCCAACCATTTCCTTACTGGAGCTGGCAGACGTCATCTCTGCGACACTGTTGGAATCTCCAAGGTTTTTGGACTTGGCTGATTTCAACATCCATGTGAATGCAGAGGTTTCTAGTCCGGCTCTTAAGTTCTTGGAAACCATTGCTTCCTTGGACATGTCCTAACATGTCAACAGCCCCACCCATGTGGGCGGTCACACATTAGACCTGGTGTTTTCCCCCAAGCGGAGTGAGTGTGGTCTGATGGTGACTGACCTTGTGTCAGTCCCCTTGTCATGGTTGGAATACCGCCTAATAAAATGCAACCTGTCAGTGGCTGTCCCCACAAGGAGCAAGGACCTATTTTAATGGTCCACCCTCAAAGGTTACTGAATCCTATAGGATTCCAGGACTCCATCAGAGGGATTCTGGCTGATCTGACTGGTGCTTCTGTCAAGGCTCTGGTTGATGGCTGGCTTGCCGCCGCTACTAGGGCTGTTCACACAATCACTCCTAAACGCCCTTTCCATTGCAGAGCTCATTCAGCACCCTGGTTTAACCAGCAGCTAAGAGCTATGAAGCAAAGTATGAGAAGGCTAGAGTGCAAGTGGAGACGAAACCTGATGGATTATAATCAAAAAGCTGTCAGGATCGCTACTAACCTTTACCTTACCCGGGTGAGGGCTGCCAGTCGAGCTTTCTTCGCTGCCTGGATAAGTGAAGCTTCAAATCAGCAGTGGAACTTTTCTGTATCATCTGCAATCTATCCGGGATTGGTCTAAGTGATAGGCCTCGTACTAGTGCTTCACCTGACCAATTTGCAGCATTTTAAAAATCTAAAGCGGAGGCTATCTGCCGGGAGCTCTCTCCTTTTTTGAACACAGTAGATTGAGCAGAGACATCCAGCAGTCTGCCTTGCCCAATGAGACTCGATCTCTTTCAGCCTGTGATGCCAGATATGGTGGACACTGTGCTTGACCGCTGTCATGCCACCTCCTCCTACGTTGACCCTTGCCAGGTGTGGCTAATCAAAGCAGCCAGGCCAGTAACAACTGAATGGGCCACTGCAATAATTAATGGGTCTCTCCAGGAGACACTCTTTAGGCCCATTAGGAAGAATCCAAGTTTGGTGTTGGATGACATTGGCAATTATAAGCCCGTCACCAATGTTTCTTTCTTCAGCAAAGTGGTAGAGAGGGTGGTGACTGACCAGCTCCAGGCCCTTTTGAATGAAACAAACACCTTGGATCCATTTCAGTTGGGCTTCAGGACATGCCACGGTACTGAAATGGCATTGGTTGCCCTGTTTGATGCCCTGCTGAGGGAGGCCGACAGGGGCAAAATGTCTCTCTTGGTCCTTCTCGACATCTCAGCCACCTGCGATACCATCGACCACAGTATCCTCCTGGGGAGGCTGTCTGAGCTGGGAATCAGTGGTTTGGCATTAGCCTGGCTCCGATCCTTCTTGGAGGACCGTCCCCAGAGAGTACATCTTGGGGAGAATGTATTGGCTCCATGGAATCTTAATTGTGGGGTTCTGCAGGGCACAATTATCTCCCCAATGCTGTTTAATATCTACATGAGGCTGCTGGATCAGGGCATCAGGGGGTGTGGGGCTTTGTGTCCTTAGTACGCTGATGACACCCAGCTTTACATCGCCTTTTCTCCAACAACAGTGGATGCCATTTCGTCCCTTCAGTGCTGTCTGGAAGCTGTATTGAAATGGATGCAAGTGAATGGTCTGAGGCTGAACCCGGACAAGACAGAGGTCCAGAGGGTGGGTGGCCCTGATATTGGTGGTTTAGGAAACTCCCTCTCCTTTGGGGGGTTGACTCTCACCATAAAGAGTGGGGTTTGCAGCTTGGGGGTCCACCTGGATCTGGCACTTACCATGGAAACCCAGGTAGTGTCAGTGGTCTGCACTGCCTACTTCCATCTTCAGCGGATTGCCCAGCTATGTTCCTGTCTTGATGTGGGGGCCCTCACCACTCTGGTCCATGCTTTTTTCCTGGAAGACATGCCAAGCTATGCAGAATGGTTGTGTTTCCTGTGCACAATGGCATCTTTCAAGAGCAGGCTTCGCTGGGCAAGAGCAGAAGAAACACCAAAGCGTGCAAGGTTGTTAGAATTCCTCAGAGAACAGGATCTTGCCTGCATTGGATTTACCAACAATGGCATTAAGCTGGACAGCATGTTCCCAGTGTAAGGGGCAGGCCAGCAGGGGATACAGGGGAAGGGCCCAAAAGGCAATGCCGTGTCTCCTGCTAATGACAGGAATACTTGAATGCCTGGACAACAAGCTCCTGTTGCTCCAGATATATGTAAACAAGTGTCTAGCATTCTCCACCTGCAACAGACTTAACGTTTACCTGTCATTCTGTCCGTCTCCCTGAAGCTCAGAAGTGCCTCGCTGTTGCAAGTGTTCTGAGAAGAGAAGACAAATAAGTCTGCAGCAGGGCAGTGGGGAATGGAGACAAGAGAGAGGGAGGACAACTATTATTTATTTATTTGAAATATTTTTATCCCTCCTTTCTCCTTAAAAAGAACCCAAGGCAGCTTCCTAAACACTTCTCTGTGAGCTTTTTCTCTTCAGCCTCAACACTGCTGTAACGGGGAACCCTCTAGGTTTTCTAATTTCATGCAGCTTTTGTGAGCCCTGGGGATGGCATCTGCCTGAGGAGGGCAGCTGAAAAAAGAGGTTGTAGACCTACTGCTTTAGGAGACAAAACAGCATCGAGCTGGATTATGCCCCCTGTTCTTCCCAGCTCCAAATCCTGGTAACAATAGAAGTGAAGAGAAGGGGGAGAACTCTCTTCGCATGCCAGAGTTTCATTTTTGCACACACTGGCTCTGATCAATAGTGGGATGAGAGAGACTTTCCTCTGTGCCTGCTAAGTGAGGAGGAGAGCACCAACCAACCAGCTGAGGTGTAAGCAGAGAAAAGTGGGGAAGAAATGGGGGAAGGTGGTGCCATGTTGGACACAGAGAAGAGGAAACTCCCAAGTTCACAAAGGAAGCAAAGGCACTGGAATGTGAATGCAAATGGAGCCAAAGAAGCCGGACCAGTGATTACACGGAGAGGTCATGGATCAGATGAGAAAGCAGGCTGGCTAGGCCCAGAGGCCAATGATCTCTCACTGTCTTTTAACCAGTAGTGTGCAACTGTAAACATGAGAGCTGTGCACTGGTACTGTAAGTAAAACACTATATAGATTACCGGTATCTCAAGGAAGCAAGACCTGCTGTCTTTTATAGCAAAACTATTTTTTTTAAATGACACATTGTGTTCCCCAGTTTATTCGAAGAATAGATCTTTCTGAACCTTCTGGCTTAAAGCCTGTTCGTAATATGATTTTAAGCATATATGTCCGCCTGTTACTTGTAAACAAACCACCACTACTATAATACTCTGGGTGTGCATGCATGCTGACTATTTAATGTTACCGTAGAAAATAAATGAAACATACTTTTAATATGAAAACTGGCATAAATCTAGGGTGGGGAATCTTCAGCCCTTCATATTTTGAGTAACTAGCACACTTGTTTTCTAACTCACCCTTCGCCAGGCTGGGATAGGAAAGATTAGAATTGGAGTCCAACAGCACCTGGAGGGCTACAGGTTGTCCAAATCTGGTCGAAACTGCATAAAGGAGTTTTTCAGGAAGTCATTTTTGAGAGCAAAGAGATAAGAAGTTGCCAAGCCAACTGTTGGGACCTATCGGGCATTATTCTCATCCCTTCCCACCCTTCATGGATCTAAACTGAAACTGGTTGGGAATGTTGGAAGCCAAGTTGGAAATGCTGCCTGTTTAGGATGCTGTAGTCACATCCTGCATTAACAGTCCCTTTGAGCCAGGGAACAATGAAGTGGACCTTCTGGCTGTATAATTGTGATGGATCTAAGGCCAGAACTGTAGTTGATTTTGTTGTCTCTCTTTTGGGCTGCAGGCGATTGTCACTTGACAGAATGGTCCGAGTGGAGTTCTTGTGAACTGACATGCATAGACGGCAGGAGCTTTGAAACAACGGGTCGCCAGTCTCGGTCAAGAACGTTCATAATTCAGTCCTTTGATAACCAAGACAGCTGCCCTGAACAAGAGGTGGAAACTCGCCCTTGCTCTGGTAGGGAATATTTCTGCCACAGCCATTTTCTCCCAGAGGAAGGTTCACTTGTGTAGCATGTTCTTGTTATTTATTGTCCTTGCTTCCCAAAATTATTCAAAAGGAAAGAGTGAAGGAAACAGAGGGGAGGGTGTATTCAGTCCTGTGGAAAGGAATGAACAGGCAGATACTGAATGTACGTCTTCGACAAGAACAAATAAACAAACCCTCCACGTCCTTGTTACTATTCTCTTTGCATGCTTTAGACGTGTTGGTTTAATTATCTCCCTCTTAGCCAGTTCTGTATTTTATTTGAAAGGAAAGCAGAAGGCATTTCAAATAAATGCAAACTGATCACTGTTGCCACGTTTGGATTATAGGAGGGAAGTGCTATAATTATGTATGGAAAACAAGCCTTTGGCAAGATAACGAACGTGCCGCATGGTGCCAGAGATCGGATGGAATGAACGTCACAGGTAGGGTCGTCTGCAAGTCGGCTGCTGTTGCTGTGGCTTCACAGTTTAGAAATGCATCTCCACTGTGATGTGTGCTGGTGAAAGTGGTTGTAATTAGAAAGCTCTTTGAGAAAAAGAAAAACTGCCCCATTACACATTTTTTTAATATTCTTTTTGTTGGCCATTTCAGCAAGATAGGTTTGGAGAACTAGTGGCTGGCCAGATATTGAACTACAATTCTTATCATCCTATACCATTGGCTATACTGGCCAGAGCTGATGGGGATTGCAGTCCAGTCATATCTGAAGACCTCATAGGTGGCCCACCTCTGATCTACAATCAGAAATTGGAGAAGTCAAAATCGGTGTAATCTGCAATCCCCCTTATTCTGTCTTTTCACCAGGTATCCTCCCTGATGTCTTTTAGAAAAATATCTAAATCATTCGTGCTTTTTTAAGTGTTTAAAAAATATCCTGCAGTGTACATCGCTGTAACTGCTGATAAGTTCGGCCACTCCTGTACAAGTCTAATGAGCAGAAATTTATTTTGGGGAATGAGGAAATGCACCTAGACAGACACAAACCAGAGAGAAGGTATTTAATCAGCATCCTACAGATAATGAAACTGATTTAGTTATTTTTTAAAAAGCCAACGAAACTCACAGGTATCCCTAAGAACAGCTGACAATTTAGCGTGCTCTTATCTTTGTGATGTTCCTAACATTCTGCCTCATGTTAGTCAAGGCAGGCACATGAAATGAAGTAACTTGGCCCCTTCCAAATTCGTGCTGATATTTTTTTACTCCCTCAAATTTAGTTATATATGGTTGCTTTTCTCTTTTTTTAAATTGTACAGCTGTTTGTTTGTTTTAGCCACTTCATGAATTCACTTTGGCTGAAGTAGGATATAAATATTTTAAATAAATGAATAGTTCAGCTGCCAGTTGCAGGCAGGAGTCTATGCCCATAGTCAGAGCAGCTCACAGAGGGATCAGCGCATACAAGATGAAGAGAGCAGGTGCAATCGCAGAAAGATGTCCTCTAAGTAAATAGCTCCAGCTGATTCGTCTGCAAAACACTGCTGTGAATATGTATTATATAAATATTGTATAGGGATCACATTTTATCGAAGCACATTTCAAATAAGACTGCAGAGAGAATTAAACAACCAAGTGCTTCATTCAGAACAGCTACGAATAGTTAATTCTCCATTACTTTTTGTACTTTGCTCCTGTCGCTAAGAAACACTCCTGGAAGTGAGGGAATTAGTCCAGTTAAGATAGTGAATCTGTTTAGCCATAGAAAACCTATTAAGGGCAATGGATAGGGTAAAACTATCTTTAAAAGAATTTGGAGAGATAAAAGGTTTACAAATAAATTGGCATAAATCAGAGATGGCGGTGTTTAATAATAATAACGGGGGAGAACTAAATAGTGAAAAATGAAATTAAGACCTGAAAGTCTGCTAAGTATTTAGGTATAAATATAGCTATGAATTTAGAGAAATTAAGAGAATAAAACCTTAAAAAATGAAGCAAGAAATAGAAAAAAACCAAGTTAGATGATTATAGAAAAAACACATTTCCATGGTTTTGAAGAACAGTGGTGATTAAAATGAAAATTTTACCTAGGATTTTTATTAATTTAGGATGTCGCTGATAGAGTTAATTGAAGAGATGCTATACAGCTCAAAATTATGAGACTTTCTGACATGAGAAATATTATATTGACAATCAACTAAGATACATTGGGGATATTATTTTGCACTCCAATAAAGTAATATGGTACGATATGGACTCACTAGAATTAGATTCAGATTTTGAGGATATTCTTTTCAGACCATTTAATTAGGGTAGAAGTAGAGAAATTGTAAAACATGCTATCGCTTTGGAACAAATAGAGAAAAATACCTAGTCCATCAATTCCCTCATTATGTCTCATGTTAGAACTGGAGAACTGTCCAGTAAATTTGAGAAATTTGTAGAAGTTATTAAGAGGAAAACAAGTTATTAAATGAAAAGACTGGGTAGAAAATATGGAGAATAGAGAAAAAATGAAAGACATAATAGGGATGGAGAAAGTATATTTCTTTAATTTAATACAATTAGAATAGTGGACAAGAAAATGGCAAATATAGGGAATTTGTCAAGTTTGAGGAAATAGTATTACCAAAGGAAAGTGCAGATGAAAATAAAACAATGCTGTATAAGCAAAATTTATAAAATATTACATGAAGTGGAGGATCAACAGGATTCACTTAAATCTTCATGGGAATATGACCTGAGAGAGAGAAAAATAAGTATTAGAATTTGGGAGAAAATATGGGATATAAGAATATTGAAATTATGCCTATAAAGATTAAGGAACATTTTTATCAGCTAGTGATAACTCTGATGAAATAAAATCAAATAAATATGAATTATTCTGTTGGAGAGGTTGCCAGAAAACTGCTACATATTTTCATATATGGTGGGAATGCAAGAATATACTGTATTGAAATTTTGGCAACCGTTTTTAAAAAAATGAAAATAAAGGACATAACTAAGCAACATTTAAAGGTACAGTATGTTTTTTAAAAGCATTTTTATTAATATTTGACAAAGAGCAGGTCTTTGCCTGCTTGCAGAATGTCAACAAAGATGGGGCCTGCCTGGTCTCTTGTGGGAGGGAGTTCCAAAGTCTGGGAGCAACAATAGAGAAGGTCCTCTCCTATGATGGGACCAAGAGAAAGGCCTCTCCTGATGATCTTATTGCTCAAGCAGGCTCATCAAGGGACACACAGTCAGTGAGACAGGGCTTTACAAATTAGAGCCAGCACTTTGAGTTGTGCCCGGAAACTGATCTTTGCAGAAGGTCAACAAAGATGGGGCCTGCCTGGTCTCTTGTGGGAGGGAGTTCCAAAGTCTGGGAGCAACAATAGAGAAGGTCCTCTCCTATGATGGGACCAAGAGAAAGGCCTCTCCTGATGATCTTATTGCTCAAGCAGGCTCATCAAGGGACACACAGTCAGTGAGACAGGGCTTTACAAATTAGAGCCAGCACTTTGAGTTGTGCCCGGAAACTGATCGGCAGTCAGTGGAGCTGCTGTAACTGGGGGCATTATGTGACCTCTGCAACCAGCCCCAGTTATCAATCTGGTTGCTGTGTTTTTGACCTGCTGAAGGAAAGAATGGATTATTAAAAAGGTATACTTTTAAAGACATGTGATATGCAGTGTTGATTATGTATCAAGAAAAAGGAAGGAAATGCACCATTGCAAGAGTCACTACAATTCTGGAAGGGGTGGGGACTCCATGAAGGGAAGAAAACTGGCTAGCTCTCCAATCGTTTTGGAATCATTTTGATAACATTGTTTTGATGTTTTTGTGTTAGTAGAGTTTTTTGGTTGTGTAACATATTATTCTGTTTATACTGTTTTGTTCTGGTATGTTTTATGTTTGTTATTAATAAACAAATTATTATTAAAAATGGTAGTGAACCTGTCAGAGTGACCATTGGGGGGAGGATCTCTATGGCATGTCATGTTTTTCGCCCTGCAACCTATGCTTGAGCTTATGGACGGGGGAGTTAACATGTTTATGAGTAATCTGGTGAGAAAGGCCAGATAACTCACAAACGTGTTTGAACTTGCTTATGGGTTCAAATGCAGGTTGCAGAGAAAATGTGAAATGTCATAGAAATGCTCCCCCTAGTGACCACCACATTCACAGAGAGCTGGTTCACATTTGTCCATTGTATCTTATATGGGACTTCAGCACCATGTGGAGGGAGAACAGCTCCACGGGAGAACTCATACAGAAGGTCCCAAGCACAATCTCCGGCATCGCCAAGAAGAGCTGGAACAATAACTCCGTGGAACTGTGGGGAGCTGCTGCCAGTCAGGGCCAGAAATACTTCGCTTCAGAGATCTTTAGACCAGTTTAATATAAATCAGCCTCCTGTGTTGCAGCAGTATTCTGTCTGCAACATATTGACCTAGAAACACTGTTTGTGTGAACTACTGCTTCCAGGGGTATGTGGTGCACAGAGCTACTGCAGTATGGGCAATCGCCTGTATTGGTATTGTTGGCTTTAAAAAAGAGAGAGAAATAAAAATAGATTGGGATTTATGTATTTATTTATTTATTTTTTTGGACTACAAATGCTGTATTTCTCATTCCAAGAGCTCTAGCTCCCTCACAGGTGTTTTATAAACACCTCACATTGGAGAAAAGCCTAAACTGGAAGGCTTTGAAGCCTAGCCAAGCTTAGTTCCATTTAGCTTCCTACTCAGAAACAAATCTCCCGACTAGCACCATGCCAAGAAGAAGCAGCTTGGGTGGACCTAAGGATGTTGCATTCTTAGCAACGTTTCCTCGACTTTAAGGAGAGATACTCCTTAGCTTGTCTCATCTCTGCATGAACCATTCCTTTTTGATCCATGTGCTTTTAAAAACCTGTTCACTATCTATCTTTCTATTTTATCTATTTGGGGGTATGCTGGAACATAACATCTATGTAATTGAATTTTTGGAAAGGGGAGAGATGCCAGGTTTGACAGCTATAGTTTCAGTTGTCAGTATGGACTAAAGACAAACTTCCATAAGTCTAGGCATCTTCGGAATGGTATGGATACAGTGTTCTTGCCATCTCACCCACCCAGCTGCCAAGGCAGTGCCTCACCATAACCAAGTAACCTGCGGATACTCCTGACTCATTTGGAAATGTATCTTTGATTATTTCTCCTGACAATTGCTCTTACAGGGGGTTGTTCTCTTCAGATGCAGCCAGCTACAACAAGGCAATGCAGCCCAGCTTGTAAGAAGCCATTCTCTTACTGCACACAGGTAATCCAGACAGCGAAATTTACATAGTCAGAATGAACAGCATTGACACTTAAATAAATATTCTTTGAATTTTTTTAAAAAGCTTTCTTATGTGCAAGAGGTATACTTCAGTAGGACTTCACTTGGAGGGAGATTCCAGGAATTGAATTTGATGTATAAATTGGAAGAGGAGCGCATGAGGACGCATGTGTGGGGAATCGTTGTTTATATTTTGGTTTACTAAGGTTGTTTCCATTGACTGAATTCCCTGCAAGGCAGTGCGTAAATATAAAAGGAGCTTTGTAAGCCCAAAGCACATTTTTTTCACAGTAAGAGCAAGAGAAGGTATGTGCAGACAACTAAAGGGCAGTCCTCCACAGAACCTGCTACCACTTGAGGAAGCTGTCTGCAGTGTATTGTATAGTAAACAGAATTTTTACCTTGCATCCACACCCACGTATGTATTCTGGGAAGCTGAGGAATAGTAATATTTTAGTTGCTCCATGGCAAGTATCCCAGAGGGCTATGGCAGAACATGTAGCCTTTCAGGTACTCTGGGACTATGATTCCTGACATCTCTCACCACTGGCTCTGATGCCTGGCATTTGCAGTTCCACAATATCTGAATGGTTATCTGTTCCCACCATCTGGAGAGCTACCCAGTGCCTTTATGCTCACCATAGAGAGTTTTGAAAATACTCTCTGTATTTACCTTCTCTGAGGAGGCCAAGTCAAAAGCCTCCGGAGCAGAAGCAGCTCACTCTCTGCCATTTGTCTGAACCTTTTCAGATGCTTCCTTTGAGATCACATGTTGGACATTTCACCCCTCCCCCAAATATTCCTTACACTTACACAACTAGCTACCCTTATAGGAAATCAGCATTTCTCCAGTCTAGCTGCAATAACATTGAATGGTAGCACCAAGCAACAGATAAATTATCGAGACACAAGCAATCTGTCCTGACTATGTTGAAAGACTCTACATCAGGGGTTCCCAACTTTGGGTTCCAAGACATTCTTGGACTGCATTTCCCAGAAGCCCTTTCCAGCACAGCTAGTGGTGAAGGCTTCTGGGAGTTTTAGTCCAAGAATGTCTGGGGATACAATGTTGGGAACCATGATTCTAGAGCAATGGTTCCCAAACTTGGCCTCCCAGATGATCCCAGATGCTTTGGGTCTCATATTGATACCTTGTGTGGTCATGAGGCAGCTCACCAAACCCTCGGTCTCAGTATATCTCGTGTCAAAAGGATACATGCTGAGAGAGCTATAAATGAGGTTAGTAGACTCCAGAGATCACAGGGTTGCACCATCTGGGGACTGCCACACACTTTTTTTAAACAAATATGTCTTAGAAACACCATATAAAAGCCCCTTTGTACTCTTTAGTCACCAAAGGAAAAAAAGTAAACATTTTTTTAAAAAATTGGGGATGAAAGAGGACAGAGGTGCTGGGAGCCCCTCAAAACATAGCAAAATTGTCCCCATACTCTAGATGGCACAAAGGGACTTTCTGAGCAAACGATAGGGGTTTTTGAGGTGCTGGGGACCTGCAGTGGTGCTGGGGGTGACATTTTGGTCCCTGGGTTGTATGTGGGCCATGGGCTACACAGAGCCTGCCCCAGGCTATAGACTAATTGTTCTTAACTTGGAAAACATTTCCTTTCGATGTCAAAGCTCAAAGGGATCCATTTCATATCCACAAGACAGTTCACAGTGATTTCACCTACAAGCTTAAGGATGGCAGACAGCATGTTATATGTTGTAGAAACTCTGCTTTTATTTTGCCTCTGAAATGCAGTTAAAATAGAAACCGTTGTATCTTAATGTATTGTGCAATGCAGTCAAATGTATACTTACTTAGAAGCCCTGTCTGTCTAATTACTACTGCAGTAATTGTGTATAGGATGACATTGTTGGGTATAAAATAGGTTATGTTGGAAAAAATATTTTGTCAGTCACTCTGATTTTGCAGGGTTTTCTGTACTGTGGTCTTTCTGTAGCACAGATTGTACATCCCGTGTGTCTACTGCAATATATGTATCCAAACAATGTGAAAAAAGAGGAAAAAACATGCATTGCTTTATTCTCCTTCATAAGAACTAGAAATGTCCCCCAAAAGCTGGAATTTCACCACTGAATTAACAAAACATTTGGCATTGTTGAGTGTCAAGCTGTGGAAATCTTTTATGAATAGTTCATATGTGCTGAACTAATTTCAGTATTGCATGCATTCTTCTTACCTAGAGTGGTATCTGTGGTTGTGAGAGAGGCTATACAGAAATATTGAGATCAAATGGTTTTCTGGATTATTGCATGAAGATTCCTGGTTTAGAAGATAAGAAAGCTGATGTTAAAACAAATGCTGCAAAACATAAACCTGTCAACTCAAAAATGCATGACATTTTCAAAGGATGGTCAATCCAACCTTTCAATCAAGGTAAAACAAGAAGTCCTTTTTTAAAATTATCTTTGAAAAATACTTTGAAAAGTAAAATTTGTACACAGTGGATCAGAAAGCATGCTGGATAATATGCAAGCTTTTATTTGCAATATGATTTAAATGTTAAAACAAATGCTGCAAAACATAAACCTGTCAACTCAAAAATGCATGACATTTTCAAAGGATGGTCAATCCAACCTTTCAGTCAAGGTAAAACAAGAAGTCCTTTTTTAAAATTATCTTTGAAAAGTACTTTGAAAAGTAAAATTTGTACATAGTGGATCAGAAAGCATGCAAGCTTTTATTTGCAATATGATTTAATAAGATTATTATAATACATCACAGTATAATCTTTATAAAATTGTGCAGTAACTTCATTTTATAGAATGACCTGGATTTCTTTCACAGCATTGCAATCAATGATGTTTTCACAATCCTTACACTACATATAAAGAAAGGCAGATTAATTGTTAATAAATGAAGTTGCCATGCAGGGGTGGGGCAGAAGTGTTAGGGCCCAGCACAAAGAACTAGACTTTCTACAATAATGGTTAAATACTTTAAACTTATGACTCTTCCCAGTCATCTTGGCCCTAGTCCAAGGGAGCTAGATAGGTAGCAGAAGGTTGGACACCTGCCGGTAAGCTTATGAAACTGCTCTTCATGTCATCAAAATTGTGAGAGCTGACAATGATGTTACTCAGTGTACCATCCTACTCTCTTTTGTTTAACAAATGCTTGATGCTGGCAGCATTGATTGTGTACTATCTACGTGGCTGAATGCATTCTCATGCCCACAGACCAGAATGTGGCATGGGTATGGAGCTGATCATCATGCACATTATTGTTTCTGTTACAAAGATTGGCTATGGTAAATTAAGGGCAGGGAATCATGCATATGTATGCCTTGTTAGCTTATATGTGGGTATAAAGCTATTTGGGGAGTGCATAGGTGGACAAATCGCACTCCCAGGCTGAAAGTTTCCCTGGGAGAAGAGTGCTACCTTTTTCCTATGACAAGCCATGATGAAATTTTAAACTTTTGCTTCCACATGTGGTTAAGCCCCATTGATTCCACCAGACCATTCGCATAAGGAAAGTTTGAGTCATGATCAAGGTGGTATATTAAGAATGCTTGGAAGCTGTCACTTCACCTGGAGTACTGTGCCCAGTTCTGGGTGCCACAGTTTAAGGATATTGACAAAGTAGACTATGTCTACGGGAGGGTGACCAAGATATGGTATTTGTTTTATTGTTGCAGATTTTGCAGCCTATGCTTAAGCATTTGCATCTCACCATTATATGGTGCCAAGATTTCTCTACACAATGTTCTTTCCTACATTAATAATTGTTGATTAGTAATAAGTGCATGGTGTCAAGTCAATTCCAACTGGTGCCAACCCTTTTCAGTTTTTTTTATGTAGAGAATACATGCAATTCACTTCATCTAGGGGAACCCTGAGACTGTGCAACTTGACCAACGCTTACCCAGGTTAGCACTTCTTTCAGAAGATACTGTGGGGAATTAAACTCCCAGCCTCTGGCTTTATAGCTGGATACCTAAACCACTGGGTTTTCTAGCCAGCCATTGTTGTTTAGGAACATTTTAACACTATGATCCACAAAAATATTTGAAATTTACATTTTTCCATCTTTCTTTATCTGCCCCAGATGGAAAACTTAAACTCTGGGTTTATGGAGTATCAGCTGGTGGATTTCTCATTATACTTTCCCTAATCTTCACCTCATATCTTGTTTGGTATGTATTTTATATATTTATGCCTTTCTCTGTTTTAGATACATTCTCTTGGAAGTAAAATGGATTAACTTGAATCAAGTTCATTTTAATCAAAATGGAAACTTGTAAGCATGGGATTGGGAGGGGCTGTTTTGCTTCATTTTGACTACAATTCACCAAGAATTTCAACAGCTAAAATTCTGCTAGCTTTAGCTACAAAATCCAAGTCCTTGGAGGTTCAGTATACACATATGTGCCCAAGCACGTTTCTCTCTGCAGTGATGGCTATTAAGCATAGAGAAAAAGGACATGGTAGAATTTTCTAAGTTCCAGGGGAATTGCAAGGCATTAGGGGACTGATAGGTTTTGAGAGGCACCCTCTACAGAGCCTAATGAGCAGAGAGACTACCAGCCTCCTAGTTCCTTAAAGCTTCCATCAAGCTTAGAATACTCCATCCCGTCCTTCTCCATGCTTAATAGCTGTTGCTGCAGATATAAAGTTGCCAAGGCACAGGTGCATATACTGAAACTCCTATGAAGACTTGAAGTTTACCAGAACTCTAGCTGTAGAAATTACTGGTGAATTCTGGTAGCTGTAGTAAAAAAAAAATCCTGAAGTCTCTTGCCTAATAATTTGTCACCTTCCAAAGTTACTTTGTCTTCTGCTGTGCAATGGCAACATGCATTTAGAAATCAATGTAGCATCCAAAAACATTGGTTTCCTAGAATCATAGAATAATTGACTTGGAAGGGGCCTATAAGGCCATCGAGTCCAAACTCTTGCTCAGTGCAAAATATCTAAATCAAAGCAGATCTGACAAGTGGTTGTCTAATTTTCTCTTGAGTGCCTCCAGGGCAGGCAGGCAGGCAGGTATTTATATTCAAAGCATTTATAGCATACCCTATATCACAGGATCTACCTAACAGATCTTAGTGATCAGGTAGAATTATATAGGGAAAGGCACTCCTTTAAGCAGTTTAGGGCTTTATAGGTCATCATCAACACTTTAAACTCAGATTGGAAGTGTTTCAGCAGCCAGTTCAAATCCATCAGAACCTGTGTCATGTGGGTTCTGAAAGATGATCTTGCTAGCAGTTGAGCTGCTGCATACTGCAACATCCATGTCATCTTGAAGGCTAGCCCCACAGAGGGTGCATGACACTAGTGTAATGGGCAGATTAGCAGGGCATAGACTGTTATGATCAGGTTATCCTAGTCCAGCAATGGTGGCAGCTGGTGGACCAGTCAAAGCTGGCACCAGGCACTCTGAGCCACTGAACTCGCATAAGCCTCCAATGCCAAGGATAAATTTAGGGGTAGTCCCCAAACAACATGCCTGCTTCTTCAGGAGGAATGTAACTCCATCCAGAACAGGTCTCCTGCCTAATTGCTAGAACACAGAACTACCAAAGCAAAGAGTCTTCGTCTTGTTGGGATACAGCTTCAGTTATTGGTCCTCATCCAGCCTGTTACAGCCTCCAGACATTGGTCCAGCACTTGCACAGCCTCACCCAATCCAGATGATGAGATGAAGGCACAGTGTCATCAGCACATTGACACCAGAATTTTCATATAGCCATGTCGCATGGAAAACTTTGGCTTGTTCATGTTACACGTATTTTGAAATTTTCTTAGCTGTGCCAAAGCATAAACAAGCATGTACAGGAGATAACCTTATGTGCAACTAGAACTGTTTTTAATGTTGTTACCACAATAGTTATCAATGTTGAAAAGACAAGACCATTTTTAAAATTGAGAAGCGGCTTTTCTCTATGGCTGTGGCAACAGCTGTAGTGGCTTCATGGAGAACCTGCTAATGTTTGGACGTAATTGTTATTGCAACCTACTAGCATCATATTGAACCACGTTCATTGTTATCAGTGTTAGACAGTGAGCTCAGTTCTCTTACTGAGAAGTAACAGGTCACTTCTTGGACAGTGATCACAAATGTCACTCAGTAAAGGGCTAAACCAGACATTGGACTAGAGCTCCAGATACTTTGCATGGCCCAGTTACATCATTGTGGAATTTTCATTTTTAGTGTATTCAGACTGCATGGGGGAAATAATATAAGGGTACTTGTAATTCAGAGTTCCAGTTTTAGAAAGGACATGAGCCAATCAAAAATAACCACATTTAAACCCCAATTGATTTTAATGGGAACAAATCTAGCCATCCTCTTAGCCCTGTCATTGAAACCAATTATTTTTTAACTTTGGCTGGGTCATGCTTTAAGTGTGTGTATCTCTGTGTTTTTCCCTCCAACTAACATGTTTATTTTCTTAAAAGTATATTTCTTTTTCCCCCTTTTAGCAAAAAGCCGAAACAACAGCAACATGCTCCTCCACAGCAAAAATGTTTGACCTTAGCCTACGATGGAGATGTTGACATGTAACATAGACAGAAATCCAAATGTAGACATCGGTTGCCTTAATTGCTTCCTTCTCCCGCCTTTTTTGTTTTGTTTCGTTTTATATGAGTCATACATCTCAGTTTGAGTTTTGTTTTGTTCGTCTGTTTTCATGTTTGTGTTTTGAAATAACCTCCCCCTGATACAACTTGGTGGAATGCAACTTGCAAATCCAATCATTTTGCCTCTTGCTTTACCAGAAAAATACCATTGAAGGACCTTCTATATCTTTGTCCAAAGTGGCATCTCAGAAATTCATCCCTTCCTATTGATCAGTGGGCAAAAGGACAAACTAGTCCTTCTACAGACGTTTACGGATTTTTACTTTTAAAAGCATGACAATCCTGTGGGGAGAAAAAAATGACATTTACTGTATAGAACAAGTTGGACACTGCATCGTTATGCACTATATTAGTGCAAACTTCTTTATTCCTCACCTCTTTCAACAATAAGTTTTCTAATATTTACCGTTGAGTTACTGTAGGAATTGTCAAACTGATTCATGTATTTTTTCAAAATTACGTTGATTTCCTTTGGTTTTTAAAGTTATCAAGTTTATTGGACAGGAAAGCAGTTTCCTTTCCCTTCCATCAGAGGGGCAGGATAATAAACATTATCAACACTTTGGAGCATAAAATCCAGCTGGCTTTCTAAGCAAGCAGTTTTTTTTAAAAAAACCAAACAGAAAACAAGGTGGACACAAAGTTTTGGTGACTAGGGAGATGATGAATGGTCAAAGTATATTTTAAATTCGTATTAAACCATTTAGATACATTTTTAACCATGGAAAACTGTAATTAAGTTTGTTTAATATGAATTCTGCTTTTGTAATTTAAATTTTATTATCTGAAAAATTTGTAAATTCTTTTTTTAAAGTTTATTCTCTGACCTTATTTATTATGCATCTAACACACACACAAATACACACACACACACTGTTTGTAGAAGGTCTTGCTTTTTAAAAAAGTTTCCAAATCTACATCCTGAACATCTTGAAGAAGATAAGTGTTTGTAATAGTATGTGTTGCAAGTAAGAAAGTGCCATCTTGTGGTATTGACATGTATTTATACACAAATAAAAAGGTAAAGAGTGTGGGAATGTTGATCGAAGATAACACTGGATTCTCTCTCAATAAATACGACTTTCCTTTTTTGTCTGAGAAAATTAAAATCACATCCTAGCCTAGGGCACCATAATTCTGAGCAAAGTGCAAGAGAGAGGGAAGGGTTTAAAATGGGTTCAAGAAGTGATTACTGATTACAAACAAAAACAGTAAATCCCAACCCATTTTAAGCCAAAGTTGTTCTTCGTTAGAGACGTACTTTCCCAAATGGAGACGTTTCTGTCAGATGCTCTCAAAGGGAACTGTGTGCATTCCTTTCCTGCCGTGTGTATATTAGTGATCAGAAGAATCAAAGAAATAAGCAGCCAGGCCAAAAATAATATTCCAGGAATATTTCTAACTGGACTAATAGGAGAACAGGCAATCAAGGCTAAATGTCGTGTGACAAACGAAGTTTCTGCACTTACTTGCCAGAGGACTAAAAAAAAAAAGATTCATCAGCACTTTGGTTCCTCCTCCCTCACAACAGCTACACTTGAATAAGAGAAGAATCCGTTTCCACCTTGGATGCCTACTGGGAGCGATTGGGGTAGAAAGTCGATTGCTCTGTCCTGCCCCACACAAGCAGGGAAAAGACCCGCTTGTTGAAATCCTGTTGTGTAACTTTTACACTATGTAAGACCAATGATATCATCAGCTTTTTAGAAGTTATAAATGACTGGAGCCCCGCCAAGGTTTCAAGGCTCTCTTGGGAACCCTTTTTGCTTTTGGAACCAATGGGACAAGGGGAAGCCTTAAGTTGACAAAAATCAACACAACGACCTGGATGGTTTTACCAGAGGTGGTGATTTTTGGAAATTAAAGGATCCCGTTCCATCCTGCCCCCTCCCCGACAGCTTCACCATGATGAGAGGAATCTCAGCAGTGCCATAGAACCTTTAAGATGTGAGGAGGCATTGTAATTTTTTACTTTCTGAAAAACCATGGCGCAAAATTGTACAACAGAATTTCAGCCGCTGAGTGGCTGCCCTAACATTAGCTTTTATTCTAATTTTAAACCTTAAGCTATGCAACAGTGACTTTTTTGACAAAAGCAGTATGAAATTTGTCATATCTAAGCCTTAAAGAAAGCAGAGAATTTCCTGCGCTCCAAAAGAGATTCATGGGAAGACAATGATCATTACCAAATTGACATCTCTGTTGTTCTATTGTTAAATATTGAACTGAGTTCTACAAGACTGACATTCATTATCCCTGCACATAGTTTTAGTTCCATACGGACATGAAAGAACAGAATATTTTAAACACTGTGCCATTGTGTTCTAAAACCCAAAGCAGTATACTGTACTGTATCAGGTTTTCTTTTTTAAAACTGAATAACTGAGTATATTAAAAGTTGTCACACGTCAAAAATGGATTCCTCTCCATTCACCCCCTCCATCTTTTGCCTTCTGTGCAGTGGAGATTGCTGTCTTGTTACCAGCACTGATATACAGGTGATTTTTGTACACAGAATGGGGGTGGGAGTGGAGATACATCATTTTTGTCCTCCGGTAGGAAGATTTCTTGGGCCAGCCTTTGTTCTACCTTGTGACTTTGAAGACATCCTTGACAGGAAAAACAAAGGCTGAGTTTGGGCCATAGCTTCCCTAGATTACTAAACGTTTACCAGGAAGATGAGCTCCATAATTCTTCATTGGGCAAAGATAGTTTAGAACTTGGCCAAATGGAGTTTAGATTCGTATGAGGCAGAGGTGACAGAGGCAACAATTTACAGTTTCTCCTCCCTCTGCTAAACAAAAGCCTGGCTAAGAGCAGACTCGGCTTCATGTATTCAGAGAAAAGTCTGCTTCTGAGCTCCTCAAACTATCACACATTTATTATACTCTTCAAATCATGAGCCAGAAATGTTTTGGAGATTTCCATGACAAATGGGGTCTGCACCTCTTGTGAGATGAAATGGAAGCATGGATGGTACAGTACCATGCTGCGGGTGAGAGAGATCCCCTCTGATTACTTCTGTCCCATATTACCTTTGAGTTGGTTTGGAAGTCTGTATATATATCGCTGGATTCTAGTTTCCATCAGCCCAGCCAGTGGCCAGAGATGATGGGAACTGTAGTCAAAAACAGAACAAAACCTCGGAGGGTGGGTGACACGGGCATCATACCTGTGCTGTAAATAGAAAGTTTATGTGCATCAGGGAGGAAGTCCAGTCTTCCACTAGTTGTGCCAATCTTCTGTTTTAAACAGTGCAATTCAAAATAAGATAAGGCGCCTACAGCCAACCTTTTAATTCATTCTGTTGCATATACAGACTGGGGTGATTCATTTCCCAAGCCTATCAGAAGCTCCATTAAAGGTTCCATCTGGCAAGAAGCTACTTATATCACAACTGGGCTTTTAGTTAACAATGCTAACTGCTGTCCCACTTAGTTTTGGTAGACATTTGGTAAGGTAAAAGTAAAGGTTCCGCTTGACAATTTTTGTCCAGTCATATTCGACTCTAGGGGGCGGTGCTCATCCCCATTTCCAAGCCATAGAGCCAGCGTTTTGTCCGAAGACAATCTTCCGTGGTCACATGGCCAATGCGACTTAGACACGGAACACTGTTACCTTCCCACCGAGGTGGTCCCTATTTATCTACTTGCATTTGCATGCTTTCGAACTGCTAGGTTGGCGGGAGCTGGGACAAAGCGACGGGAGCTCACTCCATCGCATGGATTCAATCTTATGACTGCTGGTCTTCTGACCCTGCAGCACAGGCTTCTGCGGTTTAGCCCACAGCACCATCACGACTCCTCACGCATTTGGTATCTACAGCTATATTTCAGTCCTATTTCTTGAATCATGAATCACCAGTGAAAAACAGCTAAAAGCAAATAACACTACTGTTGTAAATGCTCTGAGAATCAAAGTACACATTACTTTAAACATATAGCTAGCTTCCCCCACCCCCACATTAAAATACACATTATGAACCTGATCAATAGTTGTTTTTCTTTTGGTAAAAACAATAATTGATTTTAGGAAAATATACATTATTGGCTCTGAATTCAAAGCAATGTAAAAACTTCAATGTATCCCAGGACAGTGATAATTTTCCTCTGAACGTCTAAACAGAAGGGCCAGTATCCTACCAAGGAAAGGTATGTTCTCCTCTCAATGCACAACCAGTTGTGTGACCGAGCTCACAACCAGTGTTTGGGCATGCAAAGGGAAGCTTGCTGAGGAAGGGGAGGAATGTCTCTATACAGTCTCCCTTCCTCAATCACATAATGCAGCACAATCCCAGACAGTCTTCATTTCCGACACATGTATTAAATTCATAAGGGAGGGACTATTCACATGCAAATTCTCTGTGCTTTCTCACCCATTATTCCACTTCGACAGCAAGTCTAAAGAGAAAGGTGAGAACAGCAGGTTCAGATTTCTAAATGGATTTAGAAAACATGGTTGCTTCTCATCCATCTCTCTCTCTCTCTCTCTCTCTCTCTCTCTCTTGCTGAACATTGTTTTGCTTGCTGAACATTCTCTGCTATCTCCTAGAGGAGAACCTGAAAAGCTTTACATTGAGATTAAGAACTCTTAGAATTGACTCCTCCAGCCAGCCAAACTCATCCAGATGATGGCTATGATAGGAGTGTAACTTTTTCAACTTCTGTCCTAGAGAACACAATACTGTATATAGAAAAGTATCTTCTTTCTTAGCTAAACTTCAATTTCATCAGTAAGAGAGCCACTATGTTTTCTTTACTGCTTGTCACAAGAGTTCAAATAAGTTCAGATTCACACTTAGTAATGTCTCTATGTATATGGCTAATGTTCGGAGGATGAGATGGTTGGACAGTGTCATCGAAGTGACCAACATGAATTTGACCAAACTCCAGGAGGCAGTGGAAGACAGGAGGGCCTGGCGTGCTCTAGTCCATGGGGTCACGAAGAGTCGGACACGACTAAACAACTAAACAACAACAAATATTCGTTGGCAGCTGGCATGCTCAAAGCATCGGCAAAGATGTGCCTTCGGCATTTTGATACACTGTTGGTTGAAATGGCATCCATTGATTTCAGCCAAGCTCAGGGTTTGGTGACCTGCGATTTATTGCTCTGTTGCAGCTTTTTGTCTGCAGCGCTCCTTGCAGTCCTGCTATCTAATCAATCCTCAGAACACCTCAGCTTGGTTGGTAAGTCGTATAGCTTAAATAATTAAGTGATTTGGATTTGCTGCTTCCAACCCTTCCTTGTTTAAGAAGGTGGCTGACTTAATTAAGACAAGTGATGACAGATGACTTACCCAGAGGAACAAAATGTGGATAAAGTACCAGGCCTAATTTGGGCACAAAAGCAAAGCTATAGAAATTTAAAACAGCTTCTAAAAGAATACTTTGGGTTGTGAAGCCAATCTTCACTTGCTCATAATTTCTTACTGCGGCAGTGTATGTTGCTCTCTGTTTCCCCTCTTCATCCTCATAATAACAGCCCTGTGAAGGAGCTCAGGCTGAGAGAGTTACTGTCACAAAGTCATTCAATGACTTTCATGAGCCAGTGGGGACTTTAGCCAAGATCTCCCAAATTTCTGCCTGACACTTCATGAGTCCCAGAATATAGTCACATGACTACTGATCACACAGTGTCAACTGGACCTGAAGGTGCTCAGACAGTGATGTAGTGGATATTCCAAAGCAGCCTCAAAATCCTTAGCCTGAGAGGCAGATTGCAATTCCTGTCATTTACCTGTCAGTCATGTACTCTGGTGCCAAAATGGCACCTATCGAGGCACTCTGTATCTACACTGAAGGAATCAGAGCAGCAAATATAGTGCACCCAATCCTGTTAAAGTCTTCTACCTGTTCTGTGAAGTACTTGCACCTTTTCAAAAGATGTTTGTGTGTTCAGAGAAGTGAAAACTTCTCTGAACGCAGAAGCCCCTGTTCAGGCATTCAGGTTAACCTGAGTACATGACAAGATAAAGCAAGCTGCTCTCACTCCCCTTGGTTCTCATTTTGTTTACACGGAGAGCCATAAAGGAATGACTT